GCCCTTTCCTCGACTACTTGCCCGACAGGAAAACAAGAGCGACCCACCGAGCAGAACACGAGCCCAATATGGTCATGCCTGGGAGGAGACCGATGGTCGACCCCTATTACACGATTACCCGCAAGTTCGTGGAGGACCGGCGAGCGAAGGCGCCCACGGACTTCGACCAGAACTTCCTCCTCTTCGGCATGATTCTCCGCAAGGATTAGGTGCAGGAACTTCAGTTGCCGACGGACTTCGACCAGAACTTCATCCTCTTCGGCATGATTCTCCGCAAGATCTAGGTTCAGTAGCTTCAGTTGCCAACGGACTTCGACCAGAACTTCATCCTCTTCGGCACGATTCACCTCAAGGCCAATGTCCAGGACAGCTGCAGAGTGGGGGGCGAGAGCTAGAGTCTAGTAAAGCTGGACGTCGCACAGGAGAAGGGGGTCCAGGCAATGGCCAAGGATATCTCCGTTTGCACAGTTCTTTCCCACCGGAGTTCAGAGCGCGTCCTGGTGAGTCTTGGAAGGACTATTGGCGGGCCGTGGAGTTTTGGCTGGCTTCTGAAGGCATTAATTTGCCCCCAGAGGTGAGGAGCTCGAGGTTGATGCAGCAGATGAAGGAGCGTGCAGCGAAGATCGTGAACCACCTCTCGGTCTCGGATGTGGCCTGCGAGGACGGGGTCGCGATCATCCGGAAGGAGATGGAGAAGTCACCGATCATAAAGCTTCTGGAGCACAAGGAAGTGGACCGTAAGAGGCAAAAGTTTATGAGGTTGTCACGCTACGCCGGCGAGTCCCTGGAGAGTTTCATCAATCGGGCCTCGATTTATCGCCACGAGAATGACAGGTGCCAGAACTACAAAGTTGGGTCCAAGTTCTACTTAGGGCACTTGTTGGACGCGGCGAAGCTCACGAGGAAGGATGAGGCCCTGGTGAAGACGGCAGCGGGCGGCCTTCATGAAGAAGGTCGCGTGGTGAGCGCTCTTTTGGAGCTCTCCGAGCAACTGGAAGGCCAGCCAGGCTGGCCTATCGGGAAAGGCGAGCCGGACCTCCCGGATGATGATGAGTTCCTGGTGCAGAAGAACAAGTGGAAGCATCGCGGTGACCGAGGCGACGCTGAGGACAAAGGTGGTGGCGACCGAGGCCGCCATCGAACGAAGGGCGGTCGCTTTGCTTCGGATCGTTTCCGGGGAAAGTTCAAGAAGCGCTTCAAGCAAGTGTTCCATGCGATCCTCGAGGATGGGAGTGACGAGTCTTCGGCGAGCAGTGACGGGCCCTCGGAAGGAGATGGGCCCCCCCGCGATGATGATGAGGATGGCTCGGGCTCCTCAACGGAGCCTTCGGAAGGTCTGGACCAGCAGGCCCCAGCCGAGATCTTCGCCCAGGAGCACAGAGCAAAGAAACGTGTCAACGAGTTAAAGCAGATGCGGCAGTACTTCCAGAAGGGCACCAATGGCGACCGCACGAAAGCCTGGGTGAAGGAACAGCAGAAGACCGAGCCGTGCTTCCTCTGCCAAAAGCTTGGACACTGGTCGCAAGAATGCCCTCTTCGTAAGCGTGGAGGCCACAAGCAGTCATCCTCCCACCAGGTTCACGTGACGTCTGGACCGTACAAGTCGGATCCTGGACAATGGGAGCTCCTGCAGTCCATCGCGGAATACACGGTGGGAGATGTGTGCGAGGGACAGTCAGCAGCATATCCATGTCTAGTCACGGTGGCCAGTGAATGCGCTATGGCTGATCATGAAGTTTTTTGGTCTATGCGCGAGTTGCAGAGCAGTTTGATTTTGGATCTGGGTTGCATGAAGTCGGTGGCGGGGACACGTTGGGTAAATCAACATATTCGACACCTCAAGGGCTTGGGTCGCTGGATGAAGGCCACGAAGGAGAGTGAGAGTTTTCGTTTTGGGGATGGTCATGAACTCAAAAGTTGCTTCTCCTTCACCTTTGAGGCCACTGTCTTGGGGGTTCCCGTCATCCTACGACTCAGTGTGGTTCCTGGTGATTGCCCTCCCTTGTTGTCGAAGCCTGCATGCTCCCAGCTCAGTTTTGTAATCGACACCGAGAACAACACAGTGTCTTCCAAGAAGTTAGGTGTTGTGAAGTATGGCCTCGCGGAAACATATGGAGGCCACTATGCGGTGCCCATTGCAGAGTTCCATGAGAGCATGAGAGTGGTGTGTGATCCTCCAGTACCCGGACACTTGGAAGCTGTTCCCGTCTATGTCAGTGAACAAGCCCTGAGCCCCCCCGAAGCCGTCGAGCCGGTGTTGCCATCGTCCGGATTGCGGTCATGGACACGTCATGACAGAGCAGTGTCAAACACCGTGGGCCCCGGAAAAGCTGGTCCCCCGTGGTGCGTGGTGGTTCGTCGTCTCGTTTATGACACGTTGACGGGAGAGCAGTTGCTGGATGAAGAGGTGGACTCCCAAACCACCATCCGAAAGCCTTGGCCCCAGAAGCTGGACACTACGACGATTTTTCTGTACCGCAATTACGGCTCTTCCAGCGGTTTTGTTGGCGAGCCCAACCCTATGGGGACTTCGTTCCCTATCAATTCGAATCAAGCTCCACAGCATGGCCTCCGAGCGCAAGGAAAAGCCCCCCTCTTCGGGGACCGAGCGGCCTTCCCGACATCGCCTGAACACGGATTCGGAGGCCGAGGAAGCCGAGGAGCACGACAGTGGAACACCGAGTGGATGGGAGGGCGTGCGCCCCGAAGGAGAGGCCAGCTCCCCTCGAAGGCGGCCCCTCACTCTGAAGCATGCCCGACTGGCCAGGCGAGCAGTGGCCCGGACCAAGTCGAGAGAGCGGGTGAGATCCAAGTCGGCCGAGGCCCGCAAGACCAAGGTGAACAAGGAGGAGAAGCTGAAGGATACGGCTCTCTCGTCGGTGACCCCGGGATCTCGCTCTTCGAAGAGTCCGGCACCTTCCACTCCAGTCGACCCCAAGGTCTCCAAGGCGATCCTCGAGGCGCGCGCGAAGGAGCTCGAGGACAAGTTGTGGAGGCACATGGACCCGAGGACGATCCACACGCCCGGCTCCAAGGCGACAAAGATGTATTGGGTGACCCGGGTGGAGGAGCTCGAGAAGGAATGGCGTCTTTGCCAGATGACGCCCGAGGAGATGGAGCTGGACAGGCTGTCCCAGGATGGCGAGAACGACTCCGAGAAGGGCGACCAGGAGGCGATCGACGTGGAGGCCCTCAAGGAGAGCAGCGAGAAGGCGGTGAAGAAGGCCAATGTGAGACGTTCGTCGACCCCTGCACCACCGAGGCCGAACTCAGCGCCCTCTACCTCCACGACCGGACCTCGAGGAAGAGGAGCCCCCAAGGTGAAGGCCTTGACGGACCATGCGGCTCCCTTCCCCTCCCTCTCGAACAAGTTCTCGGACGACGTCGTGATCAACCTGGCGCTGAGCCTTCAGGGGCAGCTCTTCGCGTTCAAGTGGAAAATGTTCACCTGGATGTTGAGGGTGCGCCGAGCAGTGCGCCTCGAGTGCGGGCCCAAGTCGCGCTGGAAGAGGAACCCGAGGTGGCTGATGCTGTTGTTCGGGAAACAAGTGGCCTCGATGTGGGGCCATCTCGGATCGGCCCGGCAGCTGTGCAACGATCCCCGCCAGGCCCACCTGATGTACGGGACCCCAAGCTCATCCAGCGCCCCTCCCGAGGACTCACGCAGAAGCTGAGACGAGGTGCAGGACAGGGCCAGAAAGCTTTGGGGATTTTGACTTTGGTGGCTGCCTGGCAGAGCAAGTGGTCCGTCCTCGAAGTGTTTCCGACGGGCCTGGAGGCCCAAGGCACTAGGGCTGGCGGCTGGGCACACCAAGGACCGCTGTGGACCGACGACAAGCCCCCGACCTGGAGGCAGTGCCGACAACTTCGAGATAAGGCTGTGGAGGCCAAGCCGGACGTCCTCGTGCTGTGCCCCCCTGCAGGACCTTGGTCTCCCTGGTCATCGGCATCTTCAATGACTCAGGCTCAGTTGCGGCAGCAGAAGGTGAAGTATTGGCCTATGTGGTACCTCATCGGCGAATTGTGGGCCGAGCAATGCGCCAACCATCGGTTGGTGATCTTGGTGGTGCCGAGTAAGATGAGGCCGCCCGACCCGGATGAGCTGCGTAGGCTCCACAGCGACCACTATGCGGGAGGTGGACGAGGACTGGACCCGGGACTATATGAAGGTGATCAACTTCGGGACCCCAAGTTCGAGACGAAGGTGGATATGTGTGAATGGGGAACTCTTGATCCCGAGAGCCAGCGGCCCTTCAAGAAGTCATGCCGGGTGGAAGTCAATGATCCTTGGTGGTGCGCTCAGCTTTCGGCTGGAGGAGTTTGCCGCCATGCCCCCGGAGCTCATCAAGAGGTCTGCGGGCACACCTATGACGCCAACGGACGGCGGGTGGCCCGAATGGAGATCGCTCAGGTCTGGCCCCCTCGATGGTTCCAACATCTGTGTGAGACGGCGCAGGCCACCCTGGAAGCCCGGACGGCCCCTACGATGACTTTGGCCCTCCACCAAGAATGCTCCAAGGAGGTGGAGTGGGAAACTGTTCCGGTGGAGGTGGAACAGTCTCCAGAAGGACAGCTACGGCAAAACTTGGGCGAGGCAACGGGCTACCAGTACGACTACATCTACTTCGAGGGTGCCAGCGCATCGTTGACCAAACCCCTCCGCAACACTTTGGCGAAGCTCCATGTGGCTCTAGGCCACATTTCTCAGGAAAAGCTGAAGCGAATGTTACACCTACAAGGTGCTAAGGACCACATCATTGCGGCGGTGGGCGACCTTCGATGCCAAGTCTGTCAAGCGGTCACGGCCCCACGCGCCCCTCCCAAGGCCGCTTACGGGAAGCCCCAAAGATTCAACCAGCGGGTCCTCGCCGATGTGTTCTTCATCTGGGACTCCCAGAAGACGAAGTATGCGGTCATCCATGCCGTGGACGCCTTCTCCTTGTATCAGGTGGCCTCGCTCATGCCCACGGCCAAATCGAACCTTGTGGCTCACTTCATGAAGAACTATTGGATTGGTGTGTTCGGACCCCCGGAGATCTTTATGAGTGATGGTGGGTCTGAGTTCGCAGCGGAGACGGAGTCTCTGATGAGGGCCTATGATGTGTTTCACGAGGTGGTCCCCCCAACGGCAAAGTGGCGAATGGGTTTGGCCGAGCGGCACGGAGCAGTCCTCAAGCTCCTGACGATGAAAACCATCCAGGCGGTGACGGCCCAGGGCTACAGCGAGGTCAAGGCGTGTGTGGTCAGTGCTGCAGCGGCGCGAAACCGCCAGGCCCGAGTGTCGGGTTTCTCCCCAACACAGATCGTGCTGGGGAAGGACGTGGCCATCCCCTCCTCCCTCCTGGACCAGTTGGAGAAGGGACACTTCCGCTATGTGCTGAACCAGGACCTCGCCTTCGACGAGGCCCGGAAGAGGAACGAGCAGATTCGCCATGCCGCGGAGCAGGCCTTCATCTGGATGGATGCGAACGAGACCTTGCGCAAGGCGATCAACGCCAAGACGAGGCACCCCCGGATGGAGTTTCTGTACGAAGGGGCGAACGTCTACTTCTACGAGCCGCCAGCGTCGAGGCGAGGTTTGCCCCGTCGACTGCAAGATCAGGTCTCGTGGATGGGACCGGGTGTGGTGGCGGCCCTGGAGCGCCGCGACGGCGCGATACGCCGGGTCTGGGTGAGGTACCGCAATAAGCTGAAGGGCCTTCCCCTCGAATACATCCGACTGGCTGCTGCTGAGGAGGTGGAGTCGTCGAAGGTGTGCCAGAAAGCCCTCCATGAGCTGGAGAAGGAACTTGAAGGTGGACGCCCCGAGATCGAGGAGATGTCCGACAACCCCGACCGCGAGGAGATCCTGGAGCCCATGGAGTTCAGCGACGACAGCACGGAGGAAGCAGCGGCCCCGCCCGAGGACCAGCGGTACTCCCACTTAGACGACGTGCCTCTGCAGTTCCGGAAGGACAAACGCGAGAGCGTGGCAGCCGCTCCAGGGCCCATGAAACGAGTGAGATTCGAGGACGCCAAGAAGGACGCCCAAGAGCACCTGGACAAGGTGAAGGCCCTGGATGTGAAGTATGAGCCGGGCGCACGATCGAAGGAGACCCCTGAAGGAGCCGCCTCGCAATCATCCCGAGATCCAGCGCCGCCGCCTCCCCCTGCAAGCCACAGGGGACATGGTGTGTTACACATGCAGAGGGTGTGGCACCTCGATGGGGCCACGAGGAGTCAAAGGAAGATGATGCTGGCCGCTAAACGCCAGGGTTGGGCTGCCTATGCCCTGGACATCGACGAGCTCACCGAGAACCTCACTACGAAGATCGCCGAGGCCTCCAAGGAGCCCCCCCAGACAACTGTGGAGGAACCAGTGACGGGGAAGCCGAGGCAGGAGTTCAAATGGAACGGCCTCGATGGCGACTGGAGGAAGGCCTTCCTGGCCCCTCTCAAGAAGGCTATCGACGTGTACGCGGACAATGACGCCATCGAGCCCGTGCCCCTTGGGAAGCCGGTGCCCCCGGAGAAGATTCTCCCGTCACGTTTCGTCCTCACTAACAAGAGCGACGACCCCGAGCTGGAGAAGGCCAACCTACGGGCCAGATGGGTTTTGGCAGGCCATCTGGACAAGGAGGCTGGACAATACGCCACGGAGGCCCCTACGGCAAGCTTGGTGGGCCACAACTTGGTTTGTTTCGTGTCGGCCCAGATGGGATGGAAAATGAAGTACGCCGACATCTCCTCAGCTTTTCTCCAAGGAGAGAAGCTGGATGATGAGCGGGTTGTCTACATCAAGATGCCCCGCGGCTACCCAGAGGAGGTTTGTGATCACCTTCGCCACCGACTCGGCGAGCGCATGCCCGGCAGCATCCGGACCGATGTTGTGCGACTCACCAAGGGTGGCTTCGGCTTGGCGGAAAGCCCTCGTCTGTGGTACCTGCGTTTGAAGCGGGGGCTCGTGAGTCTGGGCCTCAAGGAGCTGAAGCTGTCTCCTGGGACCTTCGTCCTACACCTGAAGGGTAAACTTCGTGGCATCCTGTCCATCCACGTCGACGACCTGAGGATGGCCTTCGACCGCATTGCCGAGGCCATCCTGGAGAAGCTGAGGACCGTCTTCCACTTTGGTGAATGGAAGGATGCCACGACTGAGACGGTGAAGTTCTGCGGACGATGGGAGCGCCAATGCCCAGACACCTTCAAGGTCACTATCACGATGGACGGCTACGCACCCAAGCTGAAGGATGCCCCGGAAAGGGACAGCAAGGACCGCGCGCCCCTCACAGATGCCGAAAAGAAGTGGGTGGCCTCAGTTGGAGGGCAGTTGAATTGGATGGCCCGACAAGGCCGGGCCGACCTCGCCTACGGCATCTCTCGGGTGCAGCAGATGGCGGGAGCACGCGACCCGGACACGATCAAGATGTTGAACCAGCTCGTCAAGAAGGCCCGCGAGCCCTACGAGTTGGTTTACCAGCGCCTCCCCGGTACCGTCGAGGACATGGTGTTCCTGGCCGTGAGCGATGCTTCCCACGGCAGCATGCCGAAGGGACGGTCCCAGGGAGGGATGATGATTCTGGTCGCCAACAAGGAGATCTTGGAGGGCGAGAGCCTAGTGAACTGCCTCCTCTACCATAGTGCCGTGCTCAAGCGTGTGGTCCGGTCGTCTCTGGCAGCGGAAATTTCTCAGGCGGCCGAGACTCTGGACCAGTGTGAGTATGTGCGTGCCATGATGGCAGAGGTCTGGGATCCGCAGTTCACTCTGCAACTTTGGCGATGGTCAGCGGCTCGCTGGCCGGAAGTCCTCGTCCTCGACTCCAAGACCGGCTACGATGTGTTGAACAGCATCAGCAACGGCGAGGACAAGCGCCTGGCCATTGACGTGGCGATGATCAAGGAGGCCATTTTTGAGGAGGACTCCAATCGTTGGGTCCGCTGGGTTCCCGGCCTCACCATTCCCGCGGATGGCTTGACGAAGGAGTACGGCAATCCCGTCCGCGACAAGGTCATGAAGGGCGGGCCCTGGAGTCTTAAAGATTGCGAAGAAGCTCAACGCCTCCGTGAAGAAGCCGGGTTCAGAAAGCGCAAATGTAAAGATCGTGCGCGAGCCAAAGAGAAGGCTTTTGAGGAGACACGCCTGAAAGTGCAGTCTCCGCCCAATCTGTCAGCAGCTCCAAGTGGGGTTGGTGTGGAAATCTCGCTTTGAACGCAGCTGCTGACTGCCAGGATGGGCTCGCAAGCACAGTGGAGAGAAACGGGTCCCCGGGGAGGGGATCACTTTTTGTTGTCCGGCTGCACTTTTGTGTGTATCCATCTATCTGTCGTCTGTTTATCAAAATCTATCTATGTATCCATCTAAGTAGGTAGGTAGGTAGGTAGGTAGGTAGGTAGGTAGGTAGGTATGTAAGCAGATCTGTGTGTTCGTTAGCGTATGCGTCGGTGCCTTGCCGTGCAGAGTTCCGCCGTTAGAGGAGATGCACGACCTGTAAGGGAAACAGAAATCTCATATCATTCTTTCCAGCACCTGTCACGCTTGTGCCTGTGAAAGGGCGTGCACGACGCCCCGGCGCTAACGCGACGCATGGCAGAGTGCCTTGGCCGAGCATGTGGTTTTCGGAGCTTCGCATTGGTTTTTGGATCGTTTTACGGGAACAGGATCGGGGGGCCTCAGGTTCGGGGCTTGCATGGCCAAGCGGCCGAGGGTTTCGGCTTGAGGTTGAAGCTTTGGGGGGCAGCAGGCATGGAGGAAGTCTTGTGGGCTGCAGATGGGTTCCTGAGGTCATGGCGAGGAAGGAACCGTCGGAGTCCGGTTCGATACGAAACTTGTTGGCGTCTGAAATCCCCAACCCCTAGTCCTAGCGTTGGAGAGGTGAGCGAAGTAAACTCTGCGTACCACTTGCTTCAATACTGGCGCAGGCAGTTCAAATCAATATCTTTTGACACCTCAAGCATGTTCTTTCTATAAACCGAGCCAGAACTCAATCTTGCCATCCATGCCGGTCAAATATTCATGAGCATCACATGCTGAAATTCGTGCTCGTGGGTTGTCCAAGATGTGGTTCGTGGGAGATGTGATCAAGTAATCTGCGGGCCTACGAATTGCCAAGCGCGGCCACAGCCTGTCCCGACACGCCATGCCCTAGATGCGTGACGCGTCTCAGCAATGGAATCGTTCGTCCCTTGTCCCGAAGCACTGCTACAAAGACTGGTTCACGCACCTCTACTATGTCTACTCGTCTAGAGGACTTCAAAGCAGCCTGCACAAAGCAGAGTTAATTGAAAGCTACTGCCGCAGAACTTCTGTCGAACCCTAGACCCTGAAACCCTGCAGAAGTCTATCCGTTTCGGACTGTTAATTTCAGTAATTATAGTTTAATTAGTAGAATTATAGTACTTATAGTAATTATGGTAATTGTAGTAATTTTGTCCACCTTCTGCCAGGTCGCACCGGGCACTGCGCCTCCAGCGACACTCGGCTGTCAGTGGAGCATTTCAGGGTCTGGGATCTGTCTGTGCAAACCAGTCGGACGAGTATGGCGCATGGAGCACCCGGATAAACCTGTAACGCCCCATGAGCCCGTTCCTCACTGGCCTCCGCCACTCCGCGTGCTCATGAATCTCCCGCGCTAGTTGCAGAAGGTTTGTGTCGAGTCATTCGGGTCGAATTTGGTGCTTGAGGCTGATAGTTCAAACCTGCCAAGTGTTGAGCCCGAACTCTTACACCTCCTACCTTCGGTATTTTCTGTCCAAGGAAGGCCGGAAAGCCGTCGGCCAGGGCAAGAAGACAGCTTTTCAAGCGCCCGGGTGTTAGTCCTGAATTCTGGATTGATGACATTTTTGTTATTACTATTATTTACTATTATTGTTATTGTAATTATTATTATTGTTATTATTATTATTTGTATTATTGTTTTTATTCGTTTACTATTATGCGAAGCCCTATCCGCGAACCGAAAGCCGAGGCGAGAAGGAGAATCGATCTAAGGCCGCGCGGCGTTTAGGGCTTGCAAAAACCTGTGGGGGGATTTTGGGGGTTACCCGGAAAGCCCAAACCCCAAACCCTCAAGTGTTCAGCGTGGCTTCTGGATTCTGAAAAGGTGTTCATTCTTCGGCTGTGCTCCAAAGCTGCTATTGTTCGAGAGTTGCGGCCTCAAAAGAATGCTAGGCGTTTGGCTCCGTTTCCTGTGGAGGTCTTGCGCCCTGCCTGGCAATGATTTCCACGCAGGCCACCCGTGCATGGTATTGAAGGACTGCCCGAAGGGTTTAAAGCGAACTCGGCGGGCGGGAGGAAAAATAGGCGCGACCGGCTGATCACGGTGTGGAGAGGGCTGTCTATTCTCGGGCTTCGGGTGGCGGCCAAAATAACAGTATGCGACAATATGCCGTAAGACGATAGTATGAAGAGTATGTGATAAGACAAGGAATGATGATGTACCATTTGAGTTCCCAAAGTCGAGGAAGGGAGCTGTCAGGGGTCACTTTGTCCTGTTTGCTGCTCTTTGCTCTTGGGGACTGTCTGCCATCGGGCCGAGAGCACCAAGGATTGCATAGCAAGGGTATGCCAGGGTCTGATCTCACTTTGCTTTTCCCTCAACTCGATGTTCCGAGCTTCCTGGCATCCCTGGTTGATGAAGGTTGAAAGCATGTAGTATGAGCAGCCTGCCTCAGCCTCAAGGGTCCTCCACTTCCCAAGGCCCGGAATCCCATTGTTCCCTGCCCGAAGCCGCGTACTGTAGAGCGCGGAGCTTGAACCAGACCTCCGATCCTGGAAAGAGTGTGCTGCCAGCGAACCCAATCGAGAGCCTTGTAAGCACCTCCCAAGCCCCAGAGTGCTTTACCTGCCGATCCGGAACTTGACTGCTCAAAAGCCCCAAACGTGGGCTTCCTTGAAATACTCTCTGCGGCTTGTCTGCAACAAGCAAACATGATCGCCTAACACCACAGTCGCTCCTGTGGTTTGGGTAAGTGCATTCCCAAAATTCCGTTAGTCCACCTATTGACCCGGTCGAGCTTTGAGTGGCCCGGAGGAAAAGGGTGGTTAAACAACCCTAGACCCCAAAGGATGCAGCAGAAAATGGAAGCAAAGAAAAAGTATGCGTTTTCTTGTGTGCCACACCTGTAACATCCTGGATGGGAATTGCAGGCCGAACTCTGTGGCCGTAGACCTTGACAACGCCCTTTCCAGGAGCTTTCGTGAATATCCTTCTCAAATTGGGGCCCAAATCCCCATTCCCTAAATCGTGAGCCCCACACCCAACAACCCTAAACCCTAAAGCCTAAGCCCGAAAGGGTTTGGGGGATGTTTTGCGGAGACGTGGAGTAGACACCAAAAAGGCCCCTAAACCGTGTATGTACATGCAAAGCTTCAAATGATGTTTTCAAGCGACCCACTCAAGGACCATGGCCTCCCTGTGTTGGGCTGTGGTGCTTTTGGCCTCCAATGTCCCAGCGAGGGGCGAGGACGGGGGGCTTCCTTTTTCGCAGGGATTTCGGGGTGCTTTTAGGGCTTCTATGGGACTTTTCGGGGATTTTGATTAGGTCTTCCTTTTAGAGTTTTCCATGCTGGGTTCTTGGGGAGCCTATGCCCAACTATCTGAACGCTGTATGGGCTTTCTTTCAGTCAGTCTGGCAAGGATTTGAAGGACTTGTCCTGGGGAAGGGCCAGAAGGTACACTACCTCGGAAGGACCGAAAACCATAGCAGTTTCCAAGCTGATTGGTTGTCTGATTCCGCTGGGGCCGATGGAGTTGTCGCGAGACCGAATGCCTTTGGTCTCCACCGTCCTTTCCGATGTCGAGGATCCCAGCACCGCGTAAATATTCCGGGTCTAACCAGCACTTCTGCCATTGAAGTGCTCTCCTGGCAGGAGGAGCCACGAGGCATCGGCAGCATCCCTTCCTTTCGGGAAGGAGTTTTCTTATTTTTTTCCGATCGATAATCACAGCATGACATCATTTGAGACCTGGAGGTAAGAGAGCGTAGCGAGGTTTGGGGCAGCGGTTCTCCGAAGTCAGACCCGGGATCGAAGCATCTATGACGATTTGAGAGTAGTTGAGAAAACATGCACACAGCAGATCAACACGGAAATCTTGGAAACATTGAGCCAAATCAATCAATTTTTCGATTGGTGGGGTCAGGGAGCTAAAGGGGGTTTGATCTGCGTTCGCTTAACGTTCCTGCTAGTTTGGCCTTTCCGGAGCAAGTTGTCCTACCTGCTACTCGCTCTCTCGGGCTCCTTTTGTTGGCTCTTCTTTTGGCTGGGGCGGTATAGCCCCCTCCCCCCACCTGTTGAACTGAGCTTGAAACTCTGGCTTCGATCTGCTCTTCTGAAACTGTGGGCTTGTGGGAACTCGTTTCAGGTTGTCCCAAAGCCTCAACCCTAAACCCTAAACCCTAAACCCTAAACCCTAAACTCCTCGTCTTGGATCAGGGCCTCTGAAGATCGAGACCTTCTCCTGGAAAGGCGGGGACCGTGTGGAACGCATTGTGCGTACCATCCGCGAGGCCGGGACCTTTCCCTTCTTCGGAAACCCCCAAGCCTCTAAACCTAAAGCCGAAACACTTCCAGCCTAAAGCTCCCATATTCCCTGGCTTCTGGCTTCAGGTGTGTTCAGGATTTCCGGTTTTGGCCCTTGCCGTCCTTCTCATTACAGCTCGCATTTGTTTTAAGGGCTTCACAAAGGGTTCTCTAAAGCTCTTCGTCGCATCTTCGTGAGGGTTTTATATAGCCCAGCGCCTGAGAAGAGTTCCTAACTCAGCAAAGCGTGCTCAGGCATAGGACTCCTTGGGTGCCTGATCCTATAGCACATCATACAGGATATCCTTGGATGTAGGATGTGATGGGGTATCATAGTATATCATGGGGTATTATGGGCCGGCCGGTAAGGGCTTCGAGCCAAGTGCTGAGGACGACGACGAGGAGGGTAATTTCAATACCTTCCATCACAACAAGACTGCCGGGGCCCGAGGAATACAGGCTCGTTTAGATCGGCCAATAAGCATCCATCGTGCAGCGCACCAACGAACGAGAGGCTTGGTGTGTGCTGCAAGAAGCATCTGTGCGTTTGTAACAAGCAAGAATCTGTTTCAAGAGCCTAGCCGTGGATGAGGCTAAATGCAAGTATGACGGTTTGACGCATCAATGCGTCTTTTCGCCCGAAATCGTCAGGAACTTTGCATTGGCCGTCAAACAATCATCTGAAGCAATGGCTGTGTCAAGCTATATATATATATATATACCCTGGTGTAGGGTCTGCCTGGACAGGCCACGGGTGCTGAGGCAAGGTGCTGCGCACATGAGGATGGAATCTCGAGCTCCAGATCGTAAACTCTAGATTCTCTAGCCGTGAGGCTGGAACCCCGAAGCCCGCAGCACCTTCAATTTAAATGTCCCCAAAGCTCAAACCCTGAATCCCTAACTCCTTTCTGTTGGGCCATGGCGGCTCAGGGAGGGTTTTGGTGCACCAAGAAAGGCCGGCCAAACAGTGCCGAGCGAATTAGTGGATTTTAGCTTCTGCGCTGTCTCTCCGCTTTCCGGAGGATGGCCTGCACCTCAGGTGACGGGGTTTTTGGGGGTTGAAGGGGGTTTTCCAGGTTTCAGGGGTTTGGGGTCTCAGTTATTGTAGATTTTTGGCGATTTGTGGTGTTACAGAGAAGTGCAGGTTGCTGTTCGCAAGTTGGGCCTTGTTTAGATTGTGTCGATTGGGTTGATGAGCTGAAATGGTCGGGGTTCTACTTGTTCTGGTGAGGAGGCGCAGCCGGGGAGGTGGAGTCCGACGTTCTGACGCAGGGTGTTCCACACGAGCAGAGATGCGCAAAGCCCTTACTCCAGAACTCGCATCCTCAAACGCACAAATGTTTGGGCGAACCGACATGCCAGAAACCATACCGTAGTTTCGAACAGGGGTGCCACGTGCTTGAAATGGGCTGCGGGTGCGGACGCTAAAGCCGTTCTCCGATCTTGAGAGATCTTGGCAAAAGCTGCCCAACTAGGAGGGGGCGAATTTGATTTTACCCGAGGATGCACCGAATAAAACCTTCGAGCGTCGTCCGGTATGTTTGGCAGCTGTTTGTCGTTGGCAGCTCTGATGCGTTTCCTCTGCACCTGTATTGTCGTTGCGTTACTATGCTGGCGATGAAGTTGTGAGCGATCCCATCTTGCTTACATTTGGCACTGCCCTGCCTCGAAGATCGAAGCAAAGCAGCGTGAAATCGATCAACTCGCAACTCAGAGCGAGCAGTCGGCAAGGCAGCACGTGGAGCAGATACACCTGAACAAAAACGAGCAAAAATCCAGCGATTGCATCAAAAGCGCTCTCCAAAGTACCGCAGCAGGCAGGAGCCTGAAATCCCAACCTTTCCAGCCTCTTCACTGAGCCTCAAGCCCTCCGCCCACTCCCAAGTCCTGCAAGATGCGAAGCTTTCCATGCCTTCCGAGGTCATGACAGTCCTGTGCGGAGCCCGGGCACTTTTCAGTGTTCCTGGGGCTCAGGGTCGAGAGAGTCTCTGCCAGAAACCCAAACTGAAGGGGATCTGAGTTGCTCACTTCGGTTCTTTCACTCCGCAAGAGATCATCCTTGTATCTTTGGCCGTGTCGCTGAGCAACAGAGGTCCACAGACCTGCATGGCCTCAGAACCCGTCGGATTGGAGACTGTTCATGACCCACGTGCAGCTTTGGAGTTGCATGTAAGTCTCGGAACACTGGAAGCAGACTCAGCGTCTATGAAACCTTCTGCTCTAAAGCTTCACCGAAACCTTGAAAGGTGCATCTTTCTGCAGCTTGCTGCTGCGTCCGCATCGCGCGACTGGCTAGCTCCCTTTCAGCGGCTCCAGGCATCGACAGTTTCCACATGGCGGATTAATGCTGCTAAAAGCTCTCGTGTAGTTGTAAGCTCACCGACTTAAGAAGGACGCATGCTTCTACAGTATGACAGAGCTTGTGGAACGTTGTCTTGTAAAGGGCTCTGCATCTGCGGCAGGTTTAGCGGTTTGCACGCCGCTGTACTTGTTTGAGAGTTTCCCAGGGAGTTAATGAAGGCCTGTTTCCAGGTTCGATGAAACATCCGTTTGGTGCTACTTTGTCCGGCCCTGGAAGTGTTTTGGTTCTCAGTAAGTTTTAAGTTTTAAGCAAGACCCACGGCTTGGTTTTGTGCATCCGGGCTTCCGGGAGTCAGGAAGGGTCACAGCTGACCGGGCCCTCGGTGAACAACGGTCGTGATGATGGTGATGCTGATCATCATGCTCATCGTCATCCTTATCCTCCCGTCATTCTCATCAGGTCACCATCATGATCGCCACTACCATAGCCGTCCTTGCTACCATCGCCTTCATGCAGATGAACAGCGCCATGTACCATTTAGGTCATGTGCATCCAAAAGTCGAGCTCTTCATTGTTTGGCTGGACCGTGCAACAGCTGAGTTGAGCCCGGAAGGCGTTTCGTCATTGCTTCGACGTTCACTTTTCCTGTGACGACAAGCTGAGACGACAAGCTGGATATCAAACCCTACAGCGCATCACTCTGGACTATTCCTACAACCCTGAATGCCAAGCTTTGTACTGCCGTCCTGAGCTTGGACCCCAAGCCCGAATAGCGTTGCCTCGGACTGCTCCTGGTAATTCCACCAGAAGCGCTAGAGTTTGCAGCGCACTCGATGTACGAAGTATTTATCAACGACCGATATCAGAACCGGGATTCTGTATCCGCGGGTTCTTAAGCCAGACGCAGGTGAGTTCCCCAATGGTAGTTCATGTTGTGACCGATCCGGCTCGTCAGAAGGCCGGCAGGGAGCGTCGAGGGCTTTTGAGGGTGGTTCTCTGCAATACCTGCTGCGGATCCCAAAAAGGATCTTCCAAGCGCCCAAGCGGTTTTTCGACCCGCCCCTCTCTCTCTCTCTCTCTCTCTCTCTCTCTCTCTCCTCCCCCGGAATCCCGGGCTCGCGAGCCTACGATATTTCGGTTGGTCCCACGCTTGAAAGCACTCCATCGATTTCCGCAACACCCTCATCACCCTTTTATCTTTGCTATGCATGGATAGGCATTTATGTATGGAAGCTAAGAGGATGTCTGTGCGACGACGGCGAGACTCATTCTGGTAATGCTGAGTGTCACACAGGCCAACGACAGTCGCGACTTATGTAGTCAGGTCTGAATAGTTGTTGATAAAACCAGCATGTCGGCCAACATGCATTGTTTGGTTTTCGGTTTTGCAAGGACATAAAGGCCTCAGAACTAGATCTCGCATCAGCTTGCAAATGCAATCCGATGTCATGTCAAGTTTTTATGCTACAATGTACTATACTTTGCTCTACAATGCTATACTATACTTGATTACGAATTGGAGCTACGCTTGTCACACAATTCGCAACGGTGCATTGGACTCTCTGTTTTATGCCTCACCCGCGGCGCTTGCAAGCTTTGGCAAAAGACCATAATCCCCTAAAATCTTGAACTCTAAACCCCGACAGCCGGAAAAGCCAAATGACCTGACGCTCTGACGCTTGAAGAACTGATAATAGCATCCCCAGTGTTCCCCGCTACTGCACCTAAAGTTTAAAGCCCTCCAATACCCTTTCCTAATTTGTTTTGATTGCTCTAGCTGCTGTAGCTTAAAACCCTGAACTCTGAAACTCGAACAACCCAAAGGCCCTGTGTCGCGACTTCAAGCCCCTAAGGCCCTAAACATAAGAAGCCTTCCCTAAACCCTAAACCCTAAACCCTAAACCCTAAACCCTAAACCCTAAACCTGTAAGGCCCTAAACATAAGAAGCCTTCAGCCGCTCGCCAGCCCGATCTCGACATTGCAGCCGACTCCATGGGACTGGGTTGGACGGTCCAGTCTCAGGCAGCGAGGGGCTTCGGTTTTTTTTTTGGGAGATCTGGCGGCTCTAGTGGTTTCGGGGTTTAGGGTTTAGTTGGGCTGTAGGATTTCCAGACGTCTGGGGTTCAGGCAGCTAGGATGAAGAGATTTATTGGAGGGTTTAGGGTCTGCGATCTCTAGGGCCTTGTAAGCCTTTCGGCTTGGGGTTCGTCCGCGCTACACAGTTTCTTGCGCATTCCTGCATGGCAGAATTTGACACCTGACGGCTTCAAGACCTGTTTTTTGCTTGAGCTCCACGATTTGGGTCTTCGGGCTCATCCCGTGTCTCTCTTGTGCAGGTGATCGGATCTTGTCTCTGTTCGTGTCTGAGTGTGTAGCGAAGAACTACCTTTACGCTCCAGGCTGCGGCCATGAGCAATCCATCTGCAACCCGAAACCCCAAAGCCGAAACCC